AACATCACTACCATTCAATTGAATCATACGCACTGCCAACACAATTTATTTTGATCTATAAAATTATATATATTGTGAATAGTTTTTTAATTATGTGCAGGATATTCCAAGGTGGAAAGTCCTGAACATAATTCATAAAGCTGTTCATGACAAGATATATAGAAAATTATGAATAATGAGGAAAGAAGAGGAAAAGAGTGACAGAAGCATGATCTACTTACATCACAAAGGCTCAGACCCAGGACCTTTGCGTATGTGTTCTAGCAGTGACTTCACTCAGCCAGCACCTATTATATCAGCCAACATCAGGTTTCAAACCACTGGCTGAAGGGGTTATTTTTATTCCATTTCTCATGTAGACTTTTTTTTTTAAATTTTTGTTTCTTTGTTTTATCTTCATTAATAACTGTACCGGTTAGTTTTTTTTTTGTTTTTGTTTCATCTTGATACAAGTCAGAGTTATTTGGAAAGAGAGACCCTCAAGTCAGAAAAATGCCTCTATAAAATTGGCTTGTAGGCAAGTCTATGGTGATGTGGGATGCCCCTTTGTATGCTGTGAATATGTTTTATTACCATTGGTTAATAAAGGAGTTGATTTGGCCTATGGCAGGGCAGAATATAGCTAGGTGGGAAATTCAAGCAAAGATAAAGGGAAACGGAAGACAGAGTCTAGAAGATACCAGCAGCTGCTGGCAAAGTATAGAATATAGTGCCTCATGGTAAAAATAATAGAAATGGGTTAATTTAAGTTGTAAAACCTAGTTAATATTAAGCCTGATCTAATAGGCCAAACCATTTTTAATTAATATTAAGCCTCAGGAACTGTGGGAGTGAGAGAAACCTCTAGTTACACTGGGGAGCTTTTTCTTGGTTAATGATTGATCCAGGAGAGCCCAATTCACTATGGAAACGCTTCTCTGGCCTGTGGTTCTGCCAGAAGAAGGTGGACAGAGGGAGGTGGGTTCACAATCTACAGGGAACAAACCAGGAAACAATGTTTCTCCATGGCCTCTACCTAATTCCTACCTCCAGGTTCTTGAGTTGACTTTCTGTCCCCGACTTCCCTTCATGATGGACTACAACCGTTTCCTCCCCAAGCTGCTTTGGTTGTGGTGTTTGCCACAGTAATTCTGTTTATCTACATAAAGGCACAGAAAGTTAGATTGTCCTTGGCCCTTTACACTTGCTAAATGCCATGTAGTTTATCTCCAAATCTCTCCCATCCCTGCCACCTTGGAAGTAAGCTAACAGAATCTCTTGCCAGAATGTGCAGTAGTTTCCTTCCCGATCTCTGAGCACAGTGGTCCTCGCCCTTCCTACGCTGTGACCTTGTGTTGTGGGGACTGCCAACCGAAATTAGCTTGCTGCTATTTCACACCTGGAATTTTGCTACTGTTTTGAATTGTAATGTAAATATCTGGTATGCAGGATATCTCAAATGCCACCTCTCTGTGGGGGTCGCTACCCACGGGTTAAGAACTTCTGTTAGCACCTTATTTATCTCTTAAATCACGGAACTTCCTTTTGTTTTTTTATCTGAATTCAACCAGCTGAACTTTAAAAAGCACAGGTCAGCAGGACCGTGGTGGCGCACGCCTTTAATCCCTGCACTCAGGAGGCAGACATCTCTGTGAGTTCGAGGCTTGCCTGGTCTACAAGAGCTAGTTTCAGGAGAAAGAAAGAAAGCACATTTCTGACCACATTCCCGTTGTTTTCTTAAAGTCTTATATTGATTCTCATTTAGATGAAAACCAGCCCTCTATCAAGTGCCTCATGAACCCACATGAGCTGATATGGGGCTAACTGTGCTTACAAAACTACATACATTGAATCTTTACAGTGCCTGGGAGTGTGATTCGATGTAATTACAATAAGATGAGGTCTTCACAGTGAACCCTAACATAATATGACCCGTGTCCTTACAAGAATAGACAAGAATACGGGCTGGATCAGCGGGAATACCTCCTGAAGTCATAAGAAGGCAGATGCCTACAATGTAACCCATGAGAAAAACCTCAGGACTAAACAAACCCAGCTGACCACCTTGATCTCCAAGTTCAAGCTTTTAGAAATGAGAAAGTTTAAATTTTTCCCCAACATAATATTTTTATTGTTTTGGGAATTTTGTACAAGGCACCAGTCACACTCACTTTCTATTCCCCCCAGATCCACCCTCCCACCCTTGTGCCCCCACCCTAAAAAACAAATTTAAAAAAAAAAACAACAATTTTTGTTGCCCATATACTCACAGCAGACATACCCTTAAAGAAAAGTGAGTCCCTTCCCACCGCTACCCATGCCACAAGAACTACATTTCAAGCATCTTTATTATAGTTTTAAGGGCTCATTTCAGTAGTTTCCTTTTTTGGTGGGGAGGGGTTGTCACAGAAGCCTTCAATGTCTCTCATTCTCAGTTATGACACTGCAGCTACACCACCGCAAAAGAAGCTTCCTTGACCATAGCAGCCGGCAGCGGCAACACGGCCTCTGGTGATACCACAGATCATGAACATGAACCTGGTCTGTGGCGGCGGCAGCACAGGCAATGGACATCAACAAAACCTGCTGAGGCATTGTGGGTCATAGACACCAGCATGATCTCCGGAAGCAGTATAGACCACAAAGTCTTTCAAGGAGGCATAATCCAGAAAACAAACGGTGCTTCCTCCCAGATATCTTGTTGCTAAGAAGCAGCATGTCTGGGGGCAGGACCTGTGTGAACACCACCCTGCCCTTGGCACTAGCCACCTACCTAAGCCATGCCATACTTGTAGCTTGGTTGTGAGGAGTGTGGTCAGCTAGCAGTCTCAGCTGCTGACTGCTTCGTGTCCCCTTCACTGTTGAGCTAAGTGCACCCCCAATGACTGAGCAAAGCCATGACGAAGGACAGAGGCAGAGCCAGTGTCAGCACTATGTGCTGTCTCTCTGACTTCGAGGGGACTAAGGAATATTTCTGCCTGGAACTTGAATCAAATAAGCTCGTGTTTCTTGCTTTTCTTCTCGGCACTGAATACATCTCGGCATCACATAAATAACTTGAATGTTTCCACAGGCTTTCTGAATGAGCTATTTGTTCAATTAGTTGAGAGTAAGACTGAGGTCAAGGTTGTTGATTCCATTTCCTATTAGCCACTTAGTTTCAGAAATGTTAGCTAGTTAAAAATGGGCTGTTAGCTGGTTGTACATAAACCACTTAGACCTCATAACCACACACTTTGTCTAGTCATTTCTCACTGTCTTAGCTTTTCTATCACATAAACAGTCTACACGTGGTGTCAGGTGGAGGAAGAGTGTTAGCTTGGTTAGTGACAAAGAAGGTTCCTGAATTGAAGTAGAAAGAAATAGCTGTTGTTTTTTGCTATGGAAACATCTTCTAATTCATTACAACAATCCATAGCCAGGTGTGGTGTTACAATCAGTAATCTCAGTATTCAGGAAGGCTGAATCAGGAGGACTGGCACAAATCTAGGCCATTCAGGGCTACATTGTAAGTTCAAGGTCAGCCTACTGGGAAGAGGTAAGGGTTCCAGCAAGGTCACATCAGACCCTCAGGACTCACATTAAAAGGATGATCATGGCAGAATGAACATTTAACCCCAACACTTGGTGGACGACAGAGACTGGAGGATTGCTGGCACTTGCTGGTCAATCAGCCTAGCTGAAAAACAGTGAACTCCAGATTCAGTGGGAGATTCTCTCAAGGCAACAAGGGGAAGAAGTGATAGAGGGAGATGCCTGGTGTCCTCTTCTGACTTCTGCATATACTAGCACAGGCAAAGGCATGTGCACTGGGACACGTGTGCACACACAACATAAAGAACAAAAAAAAAAAAGGAGAAGGAGAAGAGAAAGTCACTACCCAAGTCAACCATCTACATGTTCATCCATCAGATACTTGTAGACCAGGAGAGAGCTGTAGTCAGCCTCATCTCCATCTTGAGCTACACCCACAATTTCACATTTGAAAGAAATTCATGAGCAGTTTGTTCATAGTGCCTGCCAGGAGCACATGTCTGGAGGTCTACAGCGCTGTTTATTCCTCTTTCTCTATTTATCATCCTTCCTCCATGTTAAGAACACACTGACCTGTGTAGTGGAGTTAATAAGAACAGGGGCCCCCTGGTCAGACTGTCTTGGGTTTAAATCTATGTTCTTCCATTGACAGGCTGAATGACCTTGTACAGTTCCTTAAGCTTTCTGAGTCTTGATTGATACTATGGTAAAATGAATAAAATACTGCATACCAGATAGGGCTGGTGCAAGGCTGACATAAAATAAAACTTAAATACCTGCGTCTTTCTTATGTTCTTTATATCCTCACATCAAACAATATTTTGTTTCTAGTTCCAGGTTAAATGAAATTTGTGCTAATACAAAATATGTTTCTGTTATAACTATATGTCATTGTAAGCAGACTCTTGGCATAATTTCTGCTTGGAACTCTAACAGCAAATATGACTTTGAAAAATACTGTTTTTTCCTTAATGATAGGACTATGTCAAGTCTATTGGTGTCCAAAGGTCTCTAAGGTAAAAACAGCTGATGGAACTTGACTACTAACTTAGCAGTCAGACTCTGGTGCCAGTGTCCTCTGAACAAAGACTGAGCGGCCCTTGGGGGTGGTCAAGCTTAGCTTCAGAAAGACCTTTCCTGACAATCTTTAAAATTTTTTAAAACATTTATTGTTTTTAATGTGTGTGTGTGCTTGCATGAGTTTATACGTATCACATGTGGGCAGGAGGCCACAGAGGCCAAAAGAGGGTGTTGAAGTCAGTTGTGAGCTTCCATGTGGCACCAGACACCAGACATGCAGTAGCACACAGACACACATGCAAAACAAATATTCATAAACATAAAATAAAACATTTTCAAAAATGACTAATGCTACTTCCACATTCCACTTGAGTCTTAGAGCAAAGAGTCTCTACACACTCAGTCTCTCAGTTCAGCTCCATCCCTCCCCCATAGTTGGCTTTCTGATTCCAAGCCAGACTCAAAGTTCCATCTGGCAGCAGGTTGCAAATGGCAGCTCTCTATTTTTCTTGAGAATATGTTTTGAGAAATCTAAGGTTACTAAATCAATCCATAGGAGATGAGACTGCCAAGTTTGAAAAGGGCAGGAGCAATCCTTGGCCTCACATCAATAAAAGAGAAAATATCTCATAGGGGCTGAGGGAAGGTGGAGGAGATCCATAGTTTAAAAAAAACAAAAACAACTCCACTGAACTCAGAAACTGTATAAGAACAAAGAAGCTGAGAAGTGAAGTGCAGCCACCATTGGGAAAGACTCAGTTCTGACAGAGAGACAATTTTATTTCCTACCAAAATGAAGCTGCTGCTGCTGCTGCTGCTGGGTTTGGAGCTGACTCTAGTCTGTGTCCACACAGAAGGACAAACGAGTGCCATCGGAAAGAACTTTAATCCAGAAAAGGTAGGTTCATGGGGAATAGTGACTTCTGACTCAGAGGATGCTTCGGGGGTCCTTTGAGGGGAGGGGCGCAGCTCCTCAATCTAGCAAACAAATGAGTAGCTTCAGACCGCAAAGTTAGACCATATCTAACAATGCTTGGGGTCCTTCATTCCCACTAGGAGACAGACACAGGATGTTAATTATTGTGCCAACTGATGTGAGATTTAATTCTGTGTGTGCTCATGTCCTGACCCATAGTCCAGAGTTCAAGTAGAAACATGTCCATGAGGTGTTCCTGCCCTTCCTCCCTTAACAATTTGCTTATCTTTTGCAGATTGAGGGAGAATGGTATTCTGTTGGCTTGGCCTCTGACAAAAGAGAAATAATAGAAGAACATGGTAGCATGAGAGTTTTTGTGGAGCACATCCATGTCTTCAAGAATTCGTCCTTAGCCTTTCAATACCATACTATGTAAGTGTGATGTTTTAGCTGAGAAAGAGAAAATGGAAGCCTCCCATGTCTCAAGCCTCTACACACACACACACACACACACACACACACACACATACATACACACACACACAAACACACACATATATGTATACATACATATACATATGTGTATATATACATACACACACACATACATATATACATACACTCACGGAGAAAAACATACCCCTCACAGCTCGTACATGTATACACACATACACACACATAAATAGAATTATGCCTTTCACAGTAGGTACACACACACACACACACACACACACACACACACACACTGAGCCTGTGTCCAATACTAGAGTCTCCCATCTGACACTAAATCAAGATTTCATAACCAGGGTTTTTTTTCAAAAGTCAGAGACAAGAGTTGGTGATAGGAATAAATTCACTGGGAATGGAATAAGTAAAGGTCAGAGACATTTCTAAAACCATACTTAATGAGACAGTATAGCACAGCTTTAAAGTATATGATAGTGAATTAAATTTTTCTTATTAGTTGTTAGCTAAGAGAATCCACCCCTTCAACTCGAATTTTCCTGCAGTAAAGGGAAGTAATAACTTCTCCTCTGCGGATTTGGGTAGGGACACATTGCGTAACATTTGCAACATTTGCAAAGCATGAATTGATGCAGACGTGGACATCTGGCTGACATAGGACCTGGTGCTGGGAAGTCGTCGGAGTTGTAACAGTGATGCAAAGTGATTGTCATTATTTTTTAAATACTGGGCAAATATGTGATTACTAAAGCATCAAATATAAGTAAAATAGCATAATGAAGGTCTTTTGTTAATTTTACAATAATAGTCAAAAGTTAAGTGGAATCAGAAGCTGGAGATACAGCTAGAGCAGAGACTGAGGAAGCCTGCTATAACAATTTCCTTCAGCACCAACTTGCTCTGTTTTACAGTATAAATGGAGAGTGCACCGAGCTGTATTTAGTTTGTGACAAAACAGAAAAGGATGGTGAATATTATGTCAAATGTGAGTATATAAAAAAATCTATATATCTGTTCATAAGGAATTTAGTAAACCCTAGTATCTTATTCATGTGTGTGTGTGTGTGTGTATGTGTGCGTGCACGTGTGTGCCTATGTGTGTATATGTGCGTGTGTGTGTGTGTGTGTGTGTGTGTGTGTGTGAGAGAGAGAGAGAGAGAGAGAGAGAGAGAGAGAGAGAGAGAGATGCACATGGCTAGGCAAACTTTCTATTACTAAACCACACCCGCAACCCTCTTCAGAATCTCAGTTGCTTCCTGATCATTGTTTATTTAGCTAATGTAACAGGGGCCAGCTTGCATCCCGGCTACAGGTAGATGGAACAAGTATGGTAAGATGGCTCTTTGTCTCCTGTCATCTCATTCTGCCCCAAGGGTTGCCACCAGTGCGCATTACTCAGAATGTGACAGCAGGTATGAAATACAGAGGCATGTCACTAGAAGCTGCTGAGAGAGGTAGACAGGCCTCAGAGAGGGCAAAGGAGGCTGAGTTGCTGTTGTTACTAACTGTTCAGAAGAGGTCCATCTACCGGCATCCCTTCTCCTAAAGTTACTTCATGTAGTCAGAGACTGTCATTCATTTCCAGGCGCTCAGACCCGAATAATCACACAGAAACCATATTAATTACAACATGGTCCAGCCAATAACTCAGGCGTATTTTTAGCAAGCTCTTCCATCTTGAATCAACCCATTTTTATTTATCTGTGTATTGCCACAAGGCTGTGTCTTACTGGGTAAGGTTCTAGCTGGAATCTGTCTCCCTTAGCAGCTCCATGGCAGCTCCTTGACTCTGCCTACTCTCTCTCTCTCTATTTCTGTTCTGATTTCCAGCCTGGCTTTACTCTGCTAAGTCATTGGTCCAAACAGCTTTATTCATCAATAATATAAGGAATCAATAACATATTCAGAAGGACATCCCATATCAACTTCATGAAGTCCGAAGAGCAACAGATAGAAAGCTTCAGACATTTCCCATCATCCCTTTTAGAATGTGCATTTTAACTTTTTTATATGTGGGGTGGAACAAGTGAAAGGTTTTCATTATTTCCTGTGGAACAAAGGACTTCTGTGCTGTTCCATTTCTTCCACAGATGATGGAGACAATATCTTTAAGGTACTTGCTGCAGACTATGATGATTATATTATACTTCATCTCAGAAATATCAACAACGGGGAAACGTTCAAGCTGATGGAGCTCTATGGTAGAGTATTTTCACACAGACACTGATCTTGGGGTTTGAAAGGAAGAGAAGAAATAAACCCTAACTCTAACATGATCTTTCCAGCCTGACCCTGAACTGCCTTTTTCTTATATCCTGAAGAGAGATGCTTACCTCTGTCAGCCCTTAGGCTCAGTGGTAGAAGGACTCTGAAATCTCTCAGTGTGCTGGAAAGATATTCTGTGAATGTCAAATTCAGGACAGGTCACATCCATGACTGTCAGCCATGCTGTCCATCTTTTTCTCATCCTTCTGGAGGAGCCCTGCCCCATCCTTCAGCTCAGTGAATGTGGTCACCACATGAAATGCAATCACTACTGTCACTGTTATTTTTCACAGGCCGGAAACCAGAGTTGAGTTCAAACATCAAGGGAAAGTTTGTGGATCTATGCAAGAAGCATGGAATTGTTGAGGAAAATATATTGGACCTAACTGGGGTTGGTAAGTCAAGACTCATTTATTTTTCTCTTCCTGAATTTTATATCATGATAAACCTAAGGGACTGCCAACCAGATATGTGTTGCAGCTGAAGAAGCATCTAGTTTCTCTTGGGGAAATAAAGTGGTACCTGATACATGAATGTGTTCTTGTTCCCACCCTGCAGATCGCTGTATCCAGGCCCGAGATGGAGGGGAGGCTTGAGCCTCCAGGTGGGTAATTTTCAGGTGAGAGTGAAGACAGGGTAGGCAGGAATGAGGACCTTCCAAAAGCATTAGTACTGTGCCCCAAAATAACAATAAAAATAATTTAATAAGGAACCTTTGAGGAGAGCTTAAAATTTGGCTTCAAAATACCTGGGTCTGTGATTTAGTCTTACCATGACTTTAAATAAGTGACCCAATCAATCAAACAAGAAAACGAGGATGCATACTTTATATATGCATACTTTATATATGCATACTTTATATATACATACTTTATATATACATACTTTATATATACATACTTTGTATATACATACTTTATATATACATACTTTGTATATACATACTTTGTACAGTTGTGTGAAAATGGCTCAGCAATGTCATTTGAGTATAGATGCTCATCAGTGTGTGTGCTCTACTTCCCTCCCATTCCTTATAATAACATCTCCTTTGAACCCTGTATAGCCTTGACTTCTTACCTGGGGATGGACCTGCCAAATCTGCACTTCTCTTCCAATCTGGAGAGCACGCTGAGTTCCCTCATCTGTCCTCTTTCCTATTTAGTCCAAGATGTCACTCTGATAACGTGTGAAAGTCTTTGAAAAGTAACCAAGGCTTTTATCATTATTTTTCACTTTACTGAAAATTCTTCAGAATTTTATGATGAATCATTTCTCTGTTCCACCAGCCAGCTCCCAAATAATAACACAGAGACTTGTTATTAATGATGGAAGTTTGACCTATAGCCTGGGCATGTTTCTAACTAGCTCTTATAACTTAAATTAACCCATTTATATCAATCTACATCCATGCAGTTTCACCTCTCTTCCATCTTGCACCTCCTGGTGACTCCATTCCTTCTTCTTCCCAGAGTTCAGAGTTCTCTCTCTCTCTCTCTCTCTCTCTCTGCCTGGAAGTTCCACCTAAAGCTCTTGACTTGTGATTGGGCATTTATCTCTTTATTAAGCCAATCACAGTGACACATCTTCACATACTGTACAAATATCCCACAAAAGAGTTTCTTATATCAAAGATAGTGGAAATAAGCCTCATATCTTTCATTACTTCCTTTTATTTTTCATATGTCACCAATAAGGAAAAAGTCATTTATTCTATGCCTTTCAGCCTTGTATTCTGGTAAGGAACATCAGTTAGACGGCAGGGAAAGGTCTGTTTCTTCATCATTTGCTCTATATAATAGAATGGCTCTATGTCCTGAAGTCACCCCAAACAATGCTTAATGAGTTTCTGTATTCTTTCTTCCTGGCTTACTCAGTGTTGAATGGGGACTCCTCACCTGGACTCCAGCATCATCCCTTCCTGTCCACACACCACCCTGTGACAAATTCTGCGATCTGATTCCCATTGCTGTCCCCCAGAAAGTGTAATCTCTGCATCTCCAGAATCTTCCCTGATTACCTAGGACAACTCATCTAGAGTCAAAGGTTTTCCTTTAAGTTTCTCTTTGTCATGCCCATGACAACTCCATGAATGTTTCCCTTTCCCTGTTCAATAAATGAATACACTTGCAGTTTCATATATGTCTCTGTGTCCAAGAAAATGTAGGACTGACAGTGAGTGAGTGAGGGGCTTGCTGGGTCCTATACTCAAGATTCTTCCTCATGTCCCAGAATCTAGCCTCGGTTTCAGGATTTTACCTCCTCTTCAACAATCCCAAGCCCCAGTGCTGCCTGTTCTTTGGTTCGCCCATTTTAGTGACCTTTTAAGGGGAATAGGAACACAGACTTGCCGAACACTTCCTCCATCCATAGCATCTCTTTTTTCAACAGAGCATGCTTCTGAGGCTATACCTGCTCAGCATTGTTCAAGACATGCTCTGTGGAAAAGAGAATGGTTTGGTCACTAAAGGCACAAAGACTAAAGAGAAAAGGTCATTTACCTAACCCCATAGCATGCTCTGACCCCTGATCAAGTGATTAAATAATATTTAAGCTCATGACTCCTGATTCAAGTTCTTGTTGTACTTTGCTAAAATAAAACATATTATAATAATGCAGATTTTTGTATTGAGAAAGTCAACCAATTATGTTGGAACCCCCTCTCACTCCTTTCATCCCACACCATGATGGACTCTACTGTTTCCTAGGTTGGCCTGAAATTCCTGGGTCCAAGTCATTCTCTGGCCACAGCATCCTAAGTGTCTGCAACTACATCCATATACTGCCAGGTGAAGAGTCCAGGCATAAGAAAATAAAAATGTAGAAATAAAGAAATATAAAGTTATAAGTCTAGGAGAATGAGAACAGACTATCAGCAGCTTTCTCAGCAGATCAAGGATCATTCATTCACAGTGAGCTATTTTCTCAGATGCTTGGGATGCGTAGATCATTTTACAACTGGCTGTTTTATTTACAAGGCCAGAGTGTCTCTCTACAAATTAAGAGCAGTGTCCTGACCATCCTTGATAAATGGCAGATGTAAACTGAGTTAACCTTTAGGAGACAGAGATATGTGACCTCTGGGTTAGACATTGTCTCTGTTATGCGAAACTGGCGACACCAGAGGAGAGGCATAAGACCCCAGTTTATACCCGGAGGTACCAGGAGACAGTGGATAAATACAAAGGTTTAATTAATGAGCTCTGATAATGGAGGTTATAAAGTATGGCAGTCAGTATCTGAAGATTTACCTGGAAATAGTGTGAAAGGCTTTTCTTCTAAGTTCTCAGCCCAAGAACCAGTTAATCCTAATTTATTAACCTTCTAGTGTTACAAGCAGCCCCTTTTCTGACGAACTGCTAAAGATATCTGTTTTCTCGCAATTAGTGACTTTCGTTGTAGTCTCCCCTAAAACCTATTTCATGATGGCTGCCTAATTACTCATTGACATTAGCACTCACTCCCTTCTTTAGGGTCTCTGCTGACCAACCCAAGGGTCAGGGCAAGGTTGTAAAAATTCTTTTGTTCAGAGATAATGCCTGGTGCCCCTACTATAAAAAATAAGTTCAAAAACCGGCCTTTTGCCACAGCCTAACAAACACCATCTCTGGCTGTGGTCTCAGCTAGTTGATAAGCTTCTGTGTCCCACGGTGTTTTATTTTTATTTTTATTTTTAAGTTTGCTTCTGGTTATCCTAGGATCTGGTTTCTGGAATAAAGTTTGCTTCTGGTTTATTAGATTTGGTGGTGTTCTCATCTTTGCGTGACCCCCCTGGACCCAACACCAGGTCCAACTTTTCATTTCTAATCTTGGCATTTAAGAGACAAAAAAAAAAATCTGTACACAACCTAAAATGTCCTTGAGAATACTTAGAAAAATAAATAACAGCTTTAATCCAGTACTCTGTCAATCCCAGGAAAGCCTTTGTCTGCTCCCAGGCCTAGGTGGCAGCTCAAGTTCACCCTGAAGCTGCTGCTCCAACACCACTTTGTGGAAATGAGTCGTGAGATAGTAAAAATGTTCAAAGTCAAGGAGAAAATCATAACCCCAGACACAGAGCAATCCCTTTCTAAGGGATGAGGGTTTGTAGAGTAGGCAATTCTTCATGATCTGGGGTCTGACTACAGCTAACCAAGCATGCAGGATTGGGGGCAAATGTCACAAAGGCCTCAAGGATGACAGAGGAGGATGCACCCCGCAGAGGAACAAAGGCTGAGGCAGAGTGATTTTGCCAACAGCTCCTCACCTGTAACACCCGATTCTGTGTTACCCTCTCGGTACAGTTCATCTGCGACTGTACCATATGCGAGTCAGGCAAGGGCCTGGAGATTGAAAAAGCACACAAGAGACCTGGGTCATTTGAAAGGAGATCAGCCGAATGCTAGTTATTCAACTTTGTGGAAATCCTTATATATCTAGCTGCTGCACAAGGAGTTTCCCCCAGGCAGGTGGGAAATTGCCACACCAAAGATGGAGTAAACAATGCCCTACAGCTAATCACTGGGGGGGGGGGTGGGCCGAGGGAGCACAGAAACAAACAGAATGTTTTAGCTGGCTGACCAGAAACTGTCCTCAAGATGAACCCCAGGAGCAGGGGTAGACCTGGGCCCTACACTCACCCTTACCTGGACGTACAAGAAGGAGACAAGTACCTGTGACTGCAGAAGCAGGCTCCACCCATATGAGAGATCAAAGCAGCTGCTGACACTGTGGGGCTGGCCTGGCTTTCAGATCTAAAAGCCTTCATTTCAGCAAGCTGGTCTGATGCTCATTGCTGGCCCACAATGTCTTGTTTGTCATAAGTAACCTCATAAAACAGCAACACCAGGCAAGATCATTTGCCGTCTACAAACATGCCTGTCCTCTGGCTACAATGAGTGACAGCTACTTCTCTACCAATTACAGAGTTAGCTTGATGACTGTCTTCACTTACAGATGGGATTCATTGGGCTCTCTAATCACTGAGCTGTCGTTGTTCTTCAATTGTACTGAACCTGGAGCCTCCTAAGACATTCCCACATCCTATAGCAGGTTCCTTGTTTCATTCTTTTTTAAAAGATTGCCTTTTGTTGCTTGTGTGTGTATGTGCATGCATGTGTTTTAGGTGTATGTGCACAAGTGCATATACATGTGCATGTGTGTAGGTCTCAAGTGTCTCCCTCTATCACTCCCCACCTTGCTCTCTGATGTAGAATCAAGAGCATAAGCATAAGAATCATAATTTGTAGGAATGCGACTAGCCTGACTGGCCCTCCTGCCTCTGCTTTCCCAGTACTGGGATTACAGGTAGGAACCCCCATTTGTAGCTTCTTCTGTGGCTGCTGGGGATCCAAGCTCAGGTCCTCAGGCTTTTAGGGAAAATACTTTACTGACTAAGGGAGCTCCCCAAACCAGGTTCTTTCTGTGATGCCTCTGACTCCTCCTAGAACATCCTTCCCAACTTCAGTAAACCAATCTTACTTACTTACAAGTATGATCCTAGGGTTGTTTTAGTAAGTTGATACTAAAATTTTGAGATAAAACAAAGATTCCTCCATGACTTGGAAACACCAACCTAACTCATAAATGCAATGCTCAGTTTGATCATGTGCACTCAATAGATGACAAAAACAAGGAAGTCTTCAAACTTTAGT